AAAATATTTAAAAATTTAAATACTTACTCGAAGCCAAGTTTTCCATTCCTTGATTGGTCCCGGTATACTATTTAATAATGTTGTAAGTTCCTGCCATAGATTTGTCACCTTCTCATTGGTACATGAGGCGCTAAATTTACCTTTGGCGAGGTGAGAATGCGACTCCATAAAATGTATTATTGTTGGTTTTTGGTCGCCGGTTACATAGAGAGATTTAATTTTTTTTTTTTAATGACATTTTGGTTTTTTTAAGGTAAATAAAAACAAGCAAATAAATAATAACACAGGACCACTAGAATTACACAAGTACGGACTGTACGGAAAATAACCATTATAAGTACAATATAATATCAACTATAAATACGCTTCAAACTTTTATATTTTACCCATAAATGGAATATCTGTTTTATCATAAATTAAAGCTATTATATAGTAATTAGGTACCCTAGAATGGGGGAATTAGCCCAGATTTCGCTTTGTTTTTTATATATTTTGGTGAATATTGGTAACATTTTTGTAAAAGTTGGTTAGGTACCTTATATTGTTTTCTTTTAAAATATGAATCAACTTCTTTATATTATAAGTCATTTTGAAATTTATCTTATCTTGAATAACCTACAAATTTTTCAAAAATTTGGGCCAATTTTGCCTGCAATTGGGGTAACTATGTCACACACTAGTAAATTCATTGTAAACAGTGTTATTTACGATTAGGGCCAATGTTATCGGAAACTAGTATACAATAAATATTAAAGCAATCAAAATATCAACATTTATTTGCTTAAAAATAATAAAAAAACCTTTTTTTTATAAAAAAAAATTAACAATTTATGTTTTAAACCTAATATAAAAAATAAAAAAACAAACTTTAGTCTCAAAATTATGAATTACTTAAGAATATACAACATTATAAAATTATTTAGAGTTTATAACTGAAGTTGAGCTCTTGCTAAAATTACACATTTCTTCAACATATTTCATTCCTCTTTACCATATTACTTTTTTACTTCCCGGATCATCACTAAGATTAGTTTCATCGTAGTTCCAAATTCTAGATGGTGGTATATCTTTTAATACATCACTTAAATTGTCCATATATGAATTTATTTCATCTAAACCAACTTGAGCTCTAACTCTCTTAATGTTTGAACTCATGCGCACAGAGAGATTATTATGCCAATTTAAAAATGATTTAACCCATTCATATCCGGGGAGATTATTTTTAAATACATTTATTTTGACACCTTTTTTTATCAAGGTAATTTTTAACAGTTATTCGAAAGTCAGCTTCAACGACTGGCAAACCATAATCTGCTAATTTGATTAAATGTTGTTCGAAAGCTTTTTCTTCGGCTTCAGTAAATACATGAGAGCGACCAATAGGTTTCGAGTGATTTCCTTTCAGTTTATTTTTTATTGTTGACCTATTTATACCAAAATGTGCTGCAGCTTCACGCTGAGTCATTTTACGTGAAATTATATTTTGTAAACACTCATTCAAGGTTTCCGGAGAATAATTTGCGTACTGTCTTGATCCAAGACGTTTTCTTTGAGTTCCCGGCATTTTTTCTAAATAATAAAAAATGATTCAGGTTTAATGTATTGAAAAAAACAAAAATAAACAAATAAAACGTTTATAAAATTAAAAGCCACAATAATCAAAGTTGACAGTCTTAACGTCAAAAAAATTTAAAGAATATTGGCGTCGGGTAACTTTGGCCCAACTTAGTTCTGGTCCAAAGTTAAACAAAATAATGGGACAATGTTAGACCAAAATGATAATGAATGATTGTACAAATTGTACATACCTTACATCAAATGCTATTCCTACTTGCTGTATAGATATTTCTGATAATGTCAATATACGGTTATACCATCAATAATTGAAGAATTTACAAACATGAATGTTAATGCTGATTATAATCGTCAATTCTCTAGTTTCCTATATATTGATGAGAGCTGCACCACAGAATCCCAACCTTTAGATTTAAGTTGCACTTCTAGATACTCATTAAATTTGAACTCTTCAAAATTCTCAATAGGTATTCAATATTTTCAATATTTAATTAACTTGTAAACTTAATTTTTATGAAATATATTTAAATATTTTGATTTATTCTAGAAGTAGAGGGCAATAATGATTTGAAGTATGTTGATAAAAGTGTACAAGCTCTTATCAAATAATACTCCCAGAAAAGACAAGTTAAGACAAAAATAAACAAATAATATATAATAAGTATACTAAAGCTATGAAAAAAATGGAGAAGCATAAAGAAACATCTAATGATTTGATAAACACAGTTGATTTAGAAACTTTTCAAATTCTTTGTGACTAATTTTTGAAACCTTTCACCTTATCATTTGTTCAAGTACAGTCTTATTTATTTAACAAACCTTTAATGGGCGGAAGGTATACTCATAAGTTTAAGGAAACTTGTCTTAGCTTATACTTTTCATCGCCTACAGCATTCCGAAATGTATCGAAAACATTTATACTACCTTATAGGAGACTTTTATCAAAAATGACACAATCAGTAAAATTTCAACCCGGGTTTAATGATAATATACTTAAAACAATTTCCCTAAAAGTCAATAAAATGTCCCCTGAAAATAAATTTTCTTTATTATATTTAGATGAAATGTCTATAAAAAGTGGGTTATTTTAGATTCTGAGCGGAGCGAGGAAGCTAGTGGTTTTACAATGGTGTTTATTTTTTTTATTTTCTTTGTATCTCTGCTAAATCGTCTTTTCCTTTTTGGCCCATCTTGGGTGCCCATACAGGATAATCGAGCACTACACAGAGTAGCCTTCTTTTCTTAGATTGTGCTGCGTTGATATTCTGGCGTGGTTGTTCGCCACTTCCCCCCCACCCTTTAGTAGCTATGTGATAGGTATGTACCTGTAAAACTCAATTTTGAGTCTAAGGTCATGCCAAGATACTTAATGCATTTGGCACCGTTTATCCGTACTCCACCAAGTTCCATTGTGAAGTCGTTGTGGACTCTCGTATTCGCATGATGATCGCCTCGGACTTTTCCATTGCTAGCTCTAGAGTCTAGACTGTTATTCGACAGCTAGGTCTTCACGATCTCCACGTCCGAGGAGATTCAAGTTCAAAAGTGTATTTACTTTTTCAGATGAGCGCCATAAGTATACTGTCTCGAGTTAATAGTAATTATAATTTTAATCACTTGTTATGTATGCGTAACGTATGTAAAGCGTTTCGTACTTTATTACATTTATTGGACAGGACTAAATAACAATTTAAAATTAATAATTCATAACTTGGAGGAATGTTTCCCCTTCGATAACTCCTCGTGATTTTTTAAAATATCTACCATACCTGACTTTTGATCGTTTGCAACCGATTTACTTTTTGTTCTGTTTTAGATCAACATTTTAATATTTAATTTTGAAATTCGATTTAACGATGAAAAAGAAACAAGTTGAACATACCTATAGTAAACTGGTTTTACTACAACTCAGGAAATATTACGTATAACAATAACAATAATTTTCCTTTCCATGATAAAAAATATAAATTTGTGACGTTGCCGCTGTTCATCGTCTGACTATACAGATCATATAGGGAACGCTGATTCGTATACGAATATGAATGCTTTGTGAATACTATTTTTCATTTGTATACGAAAACAAAACGTGTGAATCGTTTGTATACGGATGTTGTTCGTATGAGTTTCTGAATAGCCCCCCAGGTAATGAACAGGAAGAAGTCGTTAACGAATATTTGTACTTTTCCTACTACTTTGACAAAACCGTATTCTTGAACGCCGGTCGTATACGAATTTAGATAAAATAAATGCACGATTTATTTTTATAAGCATAAATAGTTCAAATGTTGACAAAATTGATCAACATCAAACATTTTCAAATTCTGTTGTAGTTAAATTTTTATAGCTAAGAATTAAAAATTAAAAATTATGTTTCTCATAAGTAGTTCATACTACGATGAAAATGTTATACATAATTAAGATATATATAGTACATACATAGGAATATTATTATAGCTATTATTACTATTATAATATTATTAATATTTTATACACACTACTATTATGATATTTTCCAATACAATGTTTTCGGATAAAAAAAACTATTCAATCTACTATATTTCTAATGTGTAATAGTAAAATAAATAACTATATAAAGACTATATGAAATATACTGAGTAATAATATATAGGCCGTCGTTGCTATGAAACTTCCCTATTCAATAATTTTTTACCATTGAATTCAACTTTGACACATACCACACACCCACTTGAAACCTACTCTACATCAGACTGCAGAGTATCCCCACTTGCCCATCTTTTTAATATTACCTATAAATACAATTAAAATATACTGGTTAAGGATACAAACTAAAAAGATACCTCCAGCCTCTTGAATTTAACTAAACTTAAAAATGAGTTAAAAATTATTAAGTATTTGTTATATTGATGGAAGAATAAAATACAATTTTAACCCTTAAGCAGGCGCGTGTCGCTTTTTAACGTTCATAGTCGCGTGGGGGTCTATCAGACCCCATTTCTAAAAATGCGTAACATAAGTACAGAAAGTTCATTTTTTTTTAAATTTGAAGACATAATTGGTTACTATATGATAAAAAAATATGTATAAAAATGTAATAAGAAAAAATAAAATAAAAATAAACACAAAATTATTTTAGTTACTAAAAATTATATTACGAAAAAAAAAATAAACAAAACTTGACAACTTCATATTAAAATTTTGGTTTGTAAAAAAAGTATTTAAACTTAAAAATCTTATTTTTTGGACAACAAAAAAAAGGTTTACTTGAACAGAATTTGTTTTACACTAATTTTTCTTATATTTCTTTGAGATCAAATGTGTCATGTATTTATAAATTGTTTGTGTATTTCAACTATAGAACCATTTTTCTTAGTTTAATTTTAAATCTTATTATTATGTGAAACATTTTATTATTATATTTATAACTATTCCGAATCTGTTGAACATTAATTTTTCTCCCAACAATCCTTACATACTGTATCCATATGTTTGAGGCACATGACGTATACTTTACACGTTTGACATGAATTTGTTGTTTTTATATCTTTGTTCTTTGGAAAAACAACACATCTTCCTCGTTTTCCCACAACTTTCGAACATTCAGGGAGTTTTTCTTCACCAAAAAATTTAGACGCCTTTCGTCTGAGAGACCTTGGAATATATTTTGAAACTGCTCGTTTTTTCTGTTGAACCTGTAGTAATGATAAGCCCACTTCTTCTAAAAATGTTCTTCGAATCAGTTTGTTTCGGTTATTTGTATTAAAAATAACTTGAGCATTTATACCAGCTAAGTCTATAAGTCGGAAAAGTAACACCAAAGGCCAACGCCTTACTTTACGTGACACTGAATAAGTAGAACACATTTCATCTATTGTGTCAACTCCTGTTTTTGAATTGTTATAAAAAAGTATGATTTCGGGCTTAGAATTATGTTCTAGCTGTTCAGAAATAGAACCATCAAGATGCATAGTAGATAGCATAATTACATTTTTGTTTTTTTTTTGGTATGTATGAAGCTATTGTCATTTGTTTTCCAAAACCGAACAAGGTGGAATTTTCCACTCTATTTTTAGTAGAAACTAATTGTATTGGTCGTTCTTTTTTATTTTTTCTAATAGTACTGACAAGTGTAATTTTTTCTTTTAGTAGCTCGTTGGCCAACGGAATACTGCTAAACCAATTATCAGCCATAATATTACTCCCAGAATCATAAATTGGACGAGATAGTCGAAGTATAACATCAGTGGCTGAATTAGATATTTTATAAGGCCCCTCTTTTTGTTTACCTGTATACAATTCCATATTGAGAGTATACCAAGTTTGTGCGTCACAAATAGTTTGAATTTTTAAACTATATTTAGCAGGTTTACTTGGTATATATATACGAAATGGACATCTACCTCTGAATGCAACAAGCTGTTCATCAATTGTTGTGTATTCAGATACAGTATAATTATTTTCACAATTGGCCAAAAAAAGTTTAAAAATATCTCTAAAAGCTGCGAAGTTATCAATATATTTACGACTTTGACGATCTCTGTTATCATCAAAGCGAATACAGCGTGATAAGAAAAAAATCGTTTCAATGTCATTGTTGCATGACAAAATAATGTCTATTCCTAAACCATTTGTTCTCCAGGGATCTTCTAAATTTTGATGACCTGACCTATTTACTCCTGATAAAATGAGTAATCCAAGTAAACATTTTTTTTCATCCTCGTCAGTTTTATTTAAGTCTCTACTACGATCGAATTTGTGGGATATACGATCAATGTATAAATTCGTACAAAATACAACCATTTTGATTATATTATGGTTTATAAATAATAAAAAACAGTCAATAGGACTTTTACAATTTTTTGCTTCACCTTTCACACCAGCCGGAACACGAATAATATTTTGTTCTCTTGCTCTGGTACTATTTCTGATAGGGACTGTTTTAGCCCATTTTGTTATAATATCTTTGCCCCAAAAATATTGTCTGTTACCTGTTGACGAAGATTCGGAATAGGTTTCATTATTTTCACTGCCAGAACTTCAATCATTTGTCTCTGTATCGCTATTGTTTTCATCAAGTTCTAATGTATCAGACAATTCAGATCCGGTGTCATTCTCAAAATTATTTTCGTTTTCATTGGGAATATCTTCATTTTGAATCCTGTGTATTTCTGATTGACTGGTCATTATTATCTGGAGTAAATTTATTACTTATTAGTTAGGAACAATATAAAATAATTATATATATATATCCCCTTACCTTTGTATATTATTGAATACTTGAATATACCGAACTTTTTAGAAGGTACCTTATAAAGTAATGTCTAATAATTGTATAGTACTGTATAAAGCGTGGTGTCATACCACAACGTTCATAGCAAACTAACATTACAATCTAACCATCATAAAATGAATGGACTACGTAAAACTGATGATCAACTGTTCAAAAGTAGATAGGTATGTATCACGTAAAAACCATTTATTTTAGGAACGTTATCGCACAATCAGCCATGTGTATATAATATATAATTATCATTATAAAAATACAAGTCCAAAAAAAAAATATATGACGGTACAATTCGCGTGGGGGTAAATATGACCCAATCCCATGTTGAAGCTCATCTTGAAGCTGTTTGACAAGTTTAAAACTTTCTATTTCACGAAAATCGATTAAACATTATCATACAAACCATCTTCTAAAAATAGAAATATAAACATATCGTATTTTTTCAATATATGAGTTTTATTTTTGATGGGGGTCAACTAGACCCCCACGCGCTTGCTTAAGGGTTAAATATATTATAAATGTTGGTCTACGTACTAAATAAATGTTACCTATTGTTATTTCCAAACCACTTTTAGGTTGGTATCTGCATACATTAAACATTTTATTATTATTCATTAATATTATTTGATAGTGGTGGTTTAGATAATTTGTAAAAAAATAAATAAGTTATAATTTTAATATATTGAGTGTTTACCAGAATAATAGAAGTTAATTATATCGAGTACACTTAAAGGACTTGAAAGAAAAAATATAAAAGTTCACCAAAAATACAATTTTTATTTGCTAGGTAACTTAAAAATAGATTAGCTATTTTTAAGCTTAATTTTTTATGCTTGGTTGTAGCCTATCATATAAAGTGTTCATGCATACATACAATTTAAGATTTTTGAGGATTGTACACAGTTTTAAAAAATATAAAGTTAACAATACTGCAGGGTTGAAATTGTTGAGCAATGTTGCCGCAGCACTGGTAGTCAGTGAGATGAAATTTAATTTTGAGTGTTTTTGAGGTTTGTGAAAACTTTAATATTTGGCTGAAAGCTGTACTGAATAGTACCTATAACATAGGCAGGTTATATGTCGGAATTATAATAATATGTATAATATTATGTACCTACGTGGCTACGTCTCTAGTTGATATATTCGTTAAAAATGATAATTACTAGGTACCGAATATAATTAAAAAAGTTAATATAAAATTACAACGTAATTATTACAAAAAATAATATTAACTACACTATAGTTATTATTATTTCAAAACCTTTTGCATGAATTTCACATCTTGAATCAATAAATTGGAGTTCAAAGTGATATGTTTGATTACTAACAATTAGCTGGGCATTTATAATAATATTCACTTACCTTACATATTTACAATTATACTGGCTTATATAATAATATCAACTTTTAGGTTATGAGGACGTTACACCCGCATATGTTGTCTCCGTCTTACAAACGTATAATGGCATAGTCATAACTAAGAAAAGACATTTTCACTACATATAAAGGAAAACTTTGGCTGTGCAATATCGTTTTTATTTTTTTGATATAACTTATGCGAAAAAAGTTTTTATTGTTTCAAAATCCATTATTATTTGTGTTTTTCAAATTTCAATAAATTTTTTTGAAGTTCCGATAGCGAAAAAATAAAAACGATATTGCACAAACAAAGTTTCCTATTTGAATGATAAAAATTTCGTTTCTTAGTTATGACTGTAGAGTTCTCGGTTCTTTCCCGCACAAAACAGTTTTTGCTTATGTTATACATTTGTAAGACGGAGAGACATATATGCGGGTGCAACGTCCTCTTAAGACTTAAGATATCCACCTAACATATTATTATATTAATCTGTGCCTCACGAATAATATATGGAAAGATTCCCTATCATTTTAATAGATTAAAAAATGTCTTTTAAAATTTTTTATTGGGTAATAATAGATAAAATACATTCGTTGTTGGATATCAAACGAACATCCGTGTTAATTTACCTCAAATCTGTACAGATTCTTAATTTTTCCTGTGAGTTAAATTCGTTATGCTGATTTGCAGTCAATCCACTTTGACAGATCAATGTTAACATCGTGCTGTAAGTGATCGTGATATGGGCATATGGCTGTATATACAATATATTATTATATACCATAATACATTGGTACATTGGTTATGCATATGCTATACCTAGATATGTATAGATAATACTTGTGTTCATTAATTGGAAATTTACCCAAGTCCATGATGCAGTGCGAGTATTCTTGTGTGTGTTTTTTTCATGAAATCAAATGTATGACAATATGACATAATATATAATATCATGGTAAAGAGGGTTATATAATTTGTATAAAATTGCATTTCAAAAATAGCATTAAAATAATGTTGGCACTAAATCCTTTGCAAGGAGTGTTTGGCAGACTTTCCGATTAATTAACACACGCTGCATTATAATATACACCTAGGCACCACACACGAGAACCTAATGCCGGAAATAGAGTTTGCTGCAGCATCCCATCACGTGACAATTTGTGTTGTCGCAGCCGACATTTTTTCGCACTTGTTGCCGCAACGATTCGATGAACCGAGGCGGTAGCGTGTGTACCGCCGGACCACCGTAACCAAGTCCTCGCGGGTCAGAACGAACTTGAGCCGGATAGTAATTCCTGTCGTCCCGCTGAAACCGACAAGGTGGTTAATACTACTGTTTGCATAGGTATACAATTTGCTATTTTAAGTTTTAATATAATAATATTATATTCCATTTATCCAGATCTTAGGACGACTTGGAGTAAATTCATAACTTTATAAATTGAGGATTAAAATTATTTTTGAGTATATAATTATTGGCAGTACCTAGGTATGACCTACCACAGGTGCAACTAGGTTTAAGGTTCTGGCGGTCTACAGCCCAATAAAACAATTAATTTAAAATAACTTATAGGAGGCTTATATCTAAATCAATAAGAGATATTTTTTAGTAGGCTACTAAATCGCCAAGCCCCTCAGCCCCCCCCCACCAATTGTACCACTGTGATACCACCGGTTACCAGTTGATTATTACTGCATTAAATGACAACAGACAATTTGTTTTAGTACTTTGATTTATTGAATTCATTTAATTCTATTCATTTAATCATACTCGTGTATTATAGTTATAGTAGAGAAAAAATGGTTTGACGATTATGGTGTTTTGGTGCAATATGTGGTGCATTGTGCCTCTCAATTTAGAGCATATGACTTAATTGGTATTTTTTTTTAAGCAAATAATATTATATAATTATTATTGACTTTAGTTTATAATCGGAAAATAAATATAAAGCGATGACTTACGTTAAAGACAAATTTCTAAATACTGCTAGTAGGTACTTCACTTTCGTTAACCTTCACTATGAATTAATCCCCAAATAGTATAGATAATAGATCATCTGAGGAATCACTGATTTTAATTTCTATTGTTTCTTTCAACTTATATAATATTTTATAAATCAATATGTTTTATCAAAGTTAATTTATTAATAAGAAAGTATACGAACCTAGTATCGTAAATTAAATTTATAATACCTATAGGTACTTTACACATTTATAATCTTTCTGTATGGTCTATTTTTGATAAGATTTTCATATACGAATTCAAAAGTACTGAAAATGCATGGTCACAATATTTTTTTTATAAGTTTTATAACTTAGGATTTGGAAGAAATTTTATGAAATCGCAAAAATCTGCAAACTATTTTGTGTTGACAATGTAATATAGCTATTGAAGGTTACTCATAAAAAGTTCATACTAGACAAATTTTTTTTATAGCCATTTTAAGTTCTATTTGGATTTTATTATATACTATCTGATCCTGTGCACTTCGTTGCCCGTTAAATATACTAACTCTTTATGACTCAAACATTGTTCAATTCGTTATTTAATATTCGGTGTATGGTGTTCAAAATGTATTTTAACTTATCTGTTGCCTGGAATAAAAATTCTGATATATTATATATTATGTAGTATATTATCAGATAGGCAATCTACCTGCGGTAGATTGAGGACCCAGTGCTGTTTGTACGTAAGTGTACGATTTAACTCTAAAGCATCAAAGTTATACCAAGTTTATTTTGATATAATACGGTTAGGTTAGGTTAGGTTAGTCTATAAATACATAAACCTAACCTAACCGTACTGAAATCCGATGAATAAAAAACCAAATTCAACCCTTTTTAAAATAGCCTATCTTCTTCCCAAAGATCTGCACACAAACATTCATTTATATATAATATAGCTGATCCTGCGCACTTCGTGGCCCGTAAAAAATGACAACTCTCAAAAAAAATTGTTATTGTTTAACTCCTTTTTGGTGTAACTCACTGCAGTAAGTGCAACTCAGCCACCCTGGTAGGCAATGTGCGAAAATTCGATTTGATGCATGCTTGTACCTGTTCTGTCCAATTAACCAATAGCAACCAATAATAAATAAATACTATTTCTATTAGTTATTTCTACTATAACCAATAGCAACCATTTATAAACAAATA